TTCTAGACGGCAACATGGGCCACTATAGTGTGAAACAACAGATGGGCGACACGTGTCACCCCGAAAACCGTGTAAGCAACGCCAAGTGCTACATTCGAATTCTGGGCGACAACATGGGCCATACAGTGTGAAACAGCACGCGGGTGACACGTGTCACCCTGGAAACAGTGCGCACAACACGAATCGTTTCACCCGTATTCTGGGCGCCAACATGAAGTTCTACAATGTGAACCAACACCAGGGTGACAGGTGCCACCCCGAAAACCTTGTGAGCAACACCACCACCTGTTTCACTCGTATTCTGGACGACACCATTGGGATCATACAATGTGAACCAACATACGGGTGACACGTGTCACACCGAACACCGTATGAGCAACACCACTTATTTCACTCACCTTCTGGACGACAACATGTGCCACACAGTGTGAAACAACACACGGGTGACACGTGTCACCCCGAACATCGTGTGAGAAAATTAGCCAGGCGAACGACCCAACCATACGCAGTTGTGAATACCGCAATTGCGGATCTATTCTTCGGTGGCGCTCCCTATGGGGTCACGAACCGTATGAGGGGTGTGCCGAATTGTGTGATAGGGTACACAACACGAAAGAAAACGATTGGTCTGAGCATGAAAGCTTGAGCGCGGGCGAGTCTAATCGCGAGTTGAATGAATACGCGCGCGATTGATTCTATGTGCATGATTGCGAGCATGGGGTCGCCTAGTGTAAATGCATACGACTGTGAATGGTTTGGGTCTGCCTGACTCTGAGAACTCGTGACACTGAGCGTAGCCTCCGCAAGGAGTTTTCCTGGGAACCCCGACGGCAGCGCCCGCGCGCCGCGACGTCCATGTCGGCGCGCCCCACACGAGGATCGCGCCCGCTTCATCCACTTCTTTTCCTTCCTTTTTGCCCGCGCACTCCAAAGTTCAAGGCTGCGGGCGCCGCGCTACGCGCAGGTCGGACGTCGACGACGGACGACGACGACGACGAAGAAATCGGCCCTAGGGACACTGTCGGGACCACCAGTCCCTATGGGAACACGAAACGTGTGAGGGGTGTGCCGAACTGAGTGTGCGGGACGCATGGGGGCGGCGGCACTGGGGCCTTCGGTGCAGCTCCCTATGGGGCCACGAAACGTGTGGGGGGTGTGCCGAAATGCGTGTGCTTGACGCATGCGGGCGGCGGCACTGGGGCCTTCGGTGGCCGAATTGTGTATGCGGGACGCATGCGGGCGGCGGCGCTGGGGCCTTCGGTGGAGCTCCCTCTGGGGCCACGAAACGTGTGAGGGGTGTGCCGAATTGGGTGTGCGGGACGCATGCGGCCGGCGGCACTGGGGCCTTCGGTGGAGCTCCCTATGGGGCCACGAAACGTGTGAGGAGTGTGCCGGGTTGGGTGTGCGGGCGCGAAACGAAACGGACAACGAAACGAACCGCGGAATGAACGGAGCAAACAAAACGAAATACGAAACACAAGTTTGGAAACGCATCAAAACAGAACGAACAACGAAATGCGCGCCCTAAATTAGCCTGACGAAGGACTCAACCATATGCAGGTGTGAGTACCGCAATTGTGACTCACTTTTTCGGTGGTGACCCCTATGAGGCAACGAACCGTGCTAGGGGTGTGCCGAAATGAGTGGCGTGGTAGACAACGCGAACGAAAACGAACAACAAAATGCGGATTGCGCCACGGGGACCTTCGGTGGGGCTCCATCTAGGGCCACGAAACGCTGTACTGGGTGAGGGAGACGCATGTGGACTGCGCCACCGGGACCTTCAATAAAGTTCCCTATGGGGCCATGAAACGTGTGAGAGGTGTGCCGAAATGAGTGTCGGGGGCGCATGCGGACTGTGCCACTGGGACATTTCGGCGGAGCTCGTAGGGGGCCACGAAACGTGTGAGGGGTGTGCCGACATGAGTGGCGGGCACGCATGCGAACTGTGCCGCTGGGACCTTCGGCGGAGCTCCTATGGGGCCACGAAACGTGTGAGGGGTGTGCCGAAATGAGCAGCGGGGACGCATGCGAACTGTGCCACTGGGACCTCCGGCGGAGCTCCTATGGGGCCACGAAACGTGTGAGGGGTGTGCCGAAATGAGTGGCGGGGACGCATGCGAACTGCGCCACTGGGACCTTCATTGGAGCTCCTATGGGGCCACGAAACGTGTGAGGGGTGTGCCGACATGAATGGTGGGGACGCATGCGAACTGTGCCACTGGGACCTTCGGCGGGGCTCTTATGGGGCCACGAAACGTGTGAGAGGTGTGCCGGCATGAATGTCGGGAACGCATGCGAACTGTGCCACTAGGACCTTCCGCGGAGTCCCTATGGGGCCACGAAACGTGTGAGGGATGTGCCGACATGAGTGCCGTGGACGCATGCGAACTGTGCCACTGGGAACTTCGGCGGAGCTCCTTTGGAGCCACGAAACGTGTGAGGGGTGTGCCGAAATAGTGGCGGGGACGCATGCGAACTGTGCCACTGGGACCGTCGGCGGAGCTCCTATGGGGCCACGAAGCGTGTGAGAGGTGTGTCGAAATGAATGTTGGGGACGCATGCGAACTGTGCCACTGGGACCTTCGGTTGGGCTCCTATGGGGCCACGAAGCGTGTGAGGGGTGTGCCGACATGAGTGGCGGGGACGCATGCGAGCTGTGCCACCCGGACCTTCGGCGGAGCTCCTATGGGGCCACGAAACGTGTGAGGGGTGTGCCGACATGAATGGCGGGGACGCATGGGAACTGTGCCACTGGGACATTTCGGCGAAGCTCCTATGGGGCCACGAAACGTGTGAGGGGTGTGCCGAAATGAATGGCGGGGACGCGTGCGAACTGTGCCACTGGGACCTTCGGCGGAGCTCCTATGGGGCCACGAAACGTGTGAGGGGTGTGCCGAAATGAGCGGCGGGGGCGCATGCGAACTGTGCCACTGGGACCTTCGGCGGAGCTCCTATGGGGCCACGAAACGTGTGAGGGGTGTGCCGTAATGAGTGGCGGGCACGCATGCGAACTGTGCCAGTGGGACCTTCGGCGGAACTCCTATGGGGCCACGAAGCGTGTGAGGGGTGTGCCGAAATGAATGGCGGGGACGCTTGCGAACTGGAGCCCCCTTATGGGGCCACGGAACGTGTGAGGGGTGTGCCGAAATGAGCGTCGGGGACGCATGCGAACTGTGCCACTGGGACCTTCGGCGGAGCCCCTTATGGTGCCACGAAGCGTGTGAGGGGTGTGCCGACATGAATGGCGGGGACGCAGGCGAACTGTGTTACTGGGACCTTCGGCGGGCCTCCTATGGGGCCACGAAACGTGTGAGGGGTGTGCCGAAAGGAATGGCGGGGACGCGTGCGAACTGTGCCACTGGGACCTTCGGCGGAGCTCCTGTGGGGCCACGAAGCGCGTCAGAGGTGTGCCGAAATGGGTGGCGGGGGCGTACGCGAACTGTGCCACTGGGACCTTCGGCGGAGCTCCTATGGGGCCACGAAACGTGTGAGGGGTGTGCCGAAATGAGCGGCGGGGACGCATGCGAACTGTGCCACTGGGACCTTCGGCGGGGCTCCTATGGGGCCACGAAGCGTTGGAGGAGTGTGCCGACATGAGCGGCAAGGACGCATGCGAACTGTGCCACTGGGACCTTCGGCGGAGCTCCTATGGGGCCACGAAGCGTGTGAGGGGTGTGCCGAAATGAGTGGCGGGGACGCATGCGAACTGTGCCACTGGGATCTTCGGCGGAGCTCCTATGCGGCCACGAAGCGTGTGAGGAGTGTGCCGAAATGAGTGGCGGGACGCATGCGAACTGTGCCACTGGGACCTTCGGCGGAGCTCCCTATGGGGCAACGAAAGGTGTGATGATGTTGATGATGCTGATGTTGATGATGATGATGATGATGATGATGACGACGATGATGACGATGGCGATGACGATGACGATGACGATGACGATGACGATGACAATGACGATGACGATGACGATGACGACGATGATGATGATGACGATGATGATGACGATGATGATGATGATGATGATGATGAGAGGAGGGGAGGAGGGATGAGGAGGAAGGAGGAGACGCGGGGCGCTGTCTCTCCAAAACGAGGACCCAACACCACAGGATGGTTGGGACAAAACCTTACAATTCAAACGCGTGAAAAACAAAAACAAACAACACAAAGGAGCAACAGTGAAAAACGAAACGAAAAACACAACAAGGGCAACAACCAAGCTAAACAGCGTTGTGCTCGGTCCTTGCCTTTTAACTTGCAGCCATGTGGCGTTCACAGCGCGCAAGGCCCACTCTTCAGGAAGCTACCTGGCAACACATAGTTCTGTCTGGACAGAGCGAATGCGGCAGGCCCGTGTCGTGCCGATTTCGGCGTCGGTTTCAGACACCGCAGGGATCGTTCAACCTGGAACGATCGACCGTTACCGAAACGTCAGATCGTTCAGCATCGACCGATTCTGGGTCGCCAGCGGGATTCAACGTTGAACGCCGGCGGCGGGGTCGCCGCCAGTCGAGGGATGTGCCGCGGTGGGTGGGGGAGCGCAAGCAAACGTTCCAACTGGAGTCGTGTCGCGAAACGTGTAAGGGGTACGCCGAGATGCGCGGGGAACGCATGCAAACTTTCCCACTGGGGCCGTCGGTGGGGCTCGCGCGAGGGGTGTGACGAAACGGGCAGAAGTACTCATGCAAACTGGAGGCCGTAGGTGAAACTCCTTATGGGGGCGCGATCCTGGTGAGTCGTTCGGGTAGTGTCTTGAAGATGAATGTGACCATCATAACTAACTCGGAGGTCGAGAACGAAGAAATGGCAGCAACAACTTGTATCTAATGATGTATTTCATGCATCTGGGTGGCAACCACAGTAACTAAGCTATCGAAGTCCGTAGTAGCAGTAGTAGCGCCTTCACGCCAATACTTGAAAGGATCTGGCGGCGGGGATCAGTTGCTGTTACCCGCCGCTCACGTGGTCCACTCATGTTTGAGCACTCGCAGCTAGCCGCCTCGCCGACTCCAGCCGCAAAGCCAACCGTGAACCACGTAGTCCCTCCTTCAACGACGCCGGCGGCAAGTGGTCCAGCCGTCCGGCGACCGCGGCGGTCGTGCTTCTGCGCACGCTCCCTATCCGCGTGGTCGCCAGCCGCTGAAAGATCTGCTCCGTCGCCACGACAGCGGGGCCGCCACTGCTGGTGATGGACCGTCTGCCTGCAGGGCCATTCCAGTTGTCGGCCAGGGCCGCCGTCCGCGGGCGCACCCACAGTGGCGGTGGCGACGGTGGGCAACGCACGTCGCTGCGCTGCATGCGACGGCGCCCTGCTTCGTGCGCGGGCACGACAGAGTAGAGCGTCCAGCTGACGCCGCCCGTGCTCCACGAACACCCGCAGCTCACGGCCTTACGCCGCTTGAGCCGTGGATTGTGCAGCTGCACGATGCTGGCGATTTGGGTGACGCGAGGGCAGCGCAGCACCTCCCGCAACACGGCGCTGTTGAGGGTGCCGTCAAACATGAGATTGCAGAGGACGATGGCGGTCGCGTCGCGGTACAGAGGCAGCCGAATGTCGCCCAGCACGGCGTTGAAGCTCGCGCAGAGGTGGTCCTCACGCGGCTCCGCGGCGCTCAGCAGCTCCTTCAGGTTGGCGCACGCCTGCTCGGCTGACCTGTGCCTTTTGAGCCCCACCTCAATGCCGGTGACGGATGCGCAGCCATTACGAAGAGCACTGTACATGACAAATTTGCCGATGCCAGAGCCGAGGTCGTAGAGCGAATCGTCAGGCGCAAGGCACAATGCGTTCCAGAGGCTCTCCATCCCGCTCCAGGTCAGTTCGCCGTAGACCATGCAACTGTCGGCAGCTGTGGGGCCGCCGCCATCAGCTGTGTGGCACTGGCCGCCGCCAACAGGCACCCCGAGGTATGCGCTGCTGGTGAGCGAGACGCACACCTCGTGCGACCGCAGCCGCGAGGTCTCGAGCGGATGGTCGGCCTCTTCCGCCATCACATGCTCAAAACCGCGTCAAACCCAACGGCTCCAATCGGACTCAATTACAATACCAGGCATGATGAGTCCGTCCGGCGCCGGGCGCGGGGACTGCGTGGGGGAGGGGGTAGCCTGACTGGCGCTGGGCCTAGGGGGATCGCGGCAGGCCAAGCGCGACAGCTCAGGTCCTAAATGCCCTGCCCGTACTTTGGAATATCACTGTTCAACGAAGCAGTGCGGTGCACGCCTCATCGCCCTCTTCCTTCTTTTCCTTTTGCTTCGCGCAATTATACGCGTCTCTTCGACTGTTAAACAATGTCCAGGACACCTTCACCTGCCCCCACGAGGCCTCCAACACGCCCCCGCCAGGCATCGTGGCAGGCCCTCACTCCTTCAGGGGGTCGGTGGGATGGCGCAAGCCACTTGCATATCCTTGCTCAACGAAGCCGTGCGGTGCACGTCAGCGTTCCCCTCCCCTGCATGAGATAGTATCTGGTGCAATCGTCCTCGGGCCCCCCGAATCGCCTCTGCCAAAACACACAATGAACACATCGGCCCCCGCTCATGACAAAGACATGATATGCGGCGCACGTGGGCCTGTCATACGCACCAAACTAGGTTGTGCGCGCTTAGCGGACTTGGCGCACTGGGCGCTCCTTGCGCGCCTGGCGGATCCTCGCAAACCTGGCGCACATGCTCACATCGCACACCTAGCGCACCTGGTGCACCTGGTTCGAGAGGATTTCTCTGGATACCCTCGCATACTCGACCTGTGCACGTGCAACAAAACTCTGCGGCAGAAGGCTAGCTGGATCACCTGAAGGACAAGGAAACCTCCAAAGCTATGATACCGATCGGAAGCGGTGGATACCTTGAAGGCCCAGCCACCCCAAGAGCCCTGGGCACCATGAGACCTGAAAGGACAGTGGTCATTATTATTAGGGAGCGCTTGTACGTGTTGTAATTACAACAACGCTCCGTCCTAGCCAGAAGACTGTTGCTCGTGCGTAGTACGCTCCTCTTGCATAATATTGACCCCCCTGCTTTACGATTACTTAGAATCTAGATCGTTCGCGTGCCCTGTCACGTTTTTTGCTTGCGAGGTTAGTTCGCAGAGACTTGGAACAAACATTCGGAATGTTCATATGCAAGTGCGTCCTGACGGTCCTGAATCGTGCCAAACACGATTCCTGGGACTTCAACACCGCGAGTCAACGTGACTGCTGCGCCCTGGCAATTCTGCATCGTGCCAGAACACCATTCTTGGGACGTCAACCATAAGAATCCTTAAAAGTGTTGTGCGCTCTTAGGGCGAATGTGCTCGGCGCTAAAGCGAGAACCGCATGTGTAAAAGGAGCCGCCCTCCATCCGTGAAATTCTTGCAAGCTTTTACAACGAATGCGCGCGGCGCTAACGCGAAAACCACATTTTGAAAACCACACCCCCTCCATCCGTGACGCTCTTTGGAAACCCTTAACACGAATGTGCGCGGCGCTACACCGAGAACCACATTTTGAAAACGGCCGCCTTCCACTCGTGAACCTGATGCATCTTGTAAGTCTGAGGATCATGAACGACAAAGAAATATAATGCGAAACGCCCGGTTCGCCCTACGGACACGTCTCGGGGTGCGACAGGGGGATGTTCTTTACAAAGAAAGGGTGGTGGAGCAGGATCATACAAAGAGGAGAATCGAACGAGGGACGGACGAGGAAGGCCGGCAGCACGTGAGGCAGGAAGGAGCCGCAGCGGGACGGGGCAAGGGGGGCCACAACGTGGACTCGCGGCCGCCGTTTCGCGAGGAGGCACCCGTCGGCGGTCGGCTCCATCGGCGGGCGCCCGCAGGGCCTCGATGCTGCCGCGCAGGGCGCGCAGCGCCGCGGGGCCTTCACCGCGCCGGGCCGAAGTGTGGGGGGTGGGGGCGCCTCACATGCCTCCTCCTCCCCTCCTCGCCCCTGTGCCCCCTTATCCTCTTCCCTCCTCCTCCTCCTCCTCTCCTCCTCCTCCTCCTCCTCCTCCTCCTCCTCCTCCTCCTCCTCCTCCTCCTTCTCCTTCTCCTCCTCCTCCTCCTCCTCCTCCTCCTCCTCCCTCCTCCCCCTCCTCCCTCCCCCGTATCCTTCTCCTGCAACTGCCTCCTCCTCTCCTTTGTCTTCCTCCTCCTCGCGCATGGGCCGTTGTTTTCCTCCTCCTCCTCCCCTCCCTTCCCTCTTCCTCCCCCTCCTCCTCCTTCACCTCCTCCTCCTCCTACCCCCTCCTGCTCCTACCCCGTCCTTCTCCCCCGTCCTCCTCCTCCCTCCACCTCGTCCTCCTCCTCCTCGTCTCCTCCTCCTCCTCCTCCTCCCCCGTCCTCCTCTTCCCTCTACATCCTCCTCCTCCTCCTCCTCCTCCTCCTCCTCGTCATCATCGTCAACATCATCGCCACCACCACCACCACCATCATCATCATCATCATCATCATCATCATCATCATCATCATCATCATCATCATCATCATCATCATCATCATCATCAGCAGCATCATCATCATCAGCATAATCATCATCATCAGCATCAGCATCATCATCATCATCATCATCATCATCATCATCATGTTCATCCTCATCCTCATCCTCATCCTCATAATCCTCATCCTCATCCTCATCATCAACATCATCATCATCACCACCACCGTCATCATCACCATCATCATCGCCACCAACATCATCATCGTAATCAGCATCACCATAGTCATCATTATCATCACCACCATCATCATCATCATCATCATCGTCACCATCATCAGCATCATCATCCTCAACATAATTATCATCATCATCGCCATCACCATCATCATCATCATCATGATCAGCATTCGTATGATCACTAGAATTATCATTACAAGCTTCATCCTCGCAGTCATCACCGTCATCATCATCATCATCATCATCATCACCATCATCATCATCATCATCATCATCATCATCGCCACCACAATCATTAGCAGCATCATCATCATAATCAGCATCAGCATCATCACCATCAGCATCAGCATCATCATCATCGTCGTCGTCGTCATCGCCATCGTCATCGCCATCGTCCTCGTCATCGGCATCATCATCGCGATCATCATCATTACCACTCTGCAACACCATAACCACCGTCACCATCCAAACAGTAATAGCAATAAGAAAATTATCGATAATACGAATAACAAGGATAAGAACACTAGCCATCATAATCGGCATCATCATCCTCATCAGCAGCATCACCCTTGCCGTTAACAGTGTCAATGTCAGCATCACCAAAATCATCATGATCATACAGCTGATGATGATGATGATGATGATGATCGCCATTACCATCATCATAATAATACTAATCCTCATCATCGTCATCATCGTTGTCGTCGTCGTAATCGTAATCGTCATCAACATCGTCATCGTCATCGTCATCATCATCAGCAGCATCAACATCAGTATCATCAGCATCATCATCATCATCAACATCTTCACCATGATCATTATCCGCGTCATCATAATCATGATCATCATCAATATCATCATCATCATCATCATCATCATCATCATCATCATCATCATCATCATCATCATCATCATCATCATCATCATCATCATCATCATCATCATCATCATCATCACAATCGTCATCCCCATTCCTCTTTCCTCCTCGCCTCCCACTCCAACTCCCCGCGCCTCGCCCCTCACGCCATATCGCCCCGCGGGCGGGGCACCTTACCCTATCCTCTTTCCCCCCCCGCTACAATTCTACAGTGTGAATGCTACTCTCCCCTTTCCCCTGAGGTGGTGATGACGATATCCCGCCCCTTCCGCATAATGTCTTACACGTACGATTTCAAAAGTTGAAATTCCCTACGTTGTGTTACCATCCAAGTGTTTTCATGCTTTAAAAATGGTGTTCCAGCTGTAGCGCTCCCGCCCCAGTCTCGCAGGCCTCGCAGGCCCCACAGGGCCCACAGGACCCAGAGGTTCTACATGTTCCACAGGTCTGACAATTTCCACAGGTCCCAAAGGTCCCACAAATGTCGAAGGTCCCGCATGCCCCACAATTCCCAAAGTTCCGTCAGGTCCCGCAAGTCCCAGAAGTGTCGCATGTCTCACGGGTCCCACAGAGGTCCCCCAGGTCCCACAGGTCCCGACGGTCTCACAGTTCCCGCATGTCCCACAGGTTGCGAAAGCCCCACAGCCACAAAGATCCCCCAGGTCGCACATGCCCCGCAAGTTTCCCTGCTCCGACTGCGCATCGCACGGTGGGGTCTTTTGTGGAGCCCCAGGTCGGCCACGGCACGCGTCCACGGTTAGAAACAGAATCGGCGCGATGGGAAGCGATGGGATGGGAGGGAGGGATAGGATATCAGATATGGCGCCAGTGCACCTAGCTTGCCCTTCTCTCTCGCTCCCTCTCCCCCTCCACCCCGCCTCGCCCATCCGCCCCGCTTCCCCCCACCTTCCGCCTCCCCCCTCGCCCCTCCGCCCCTCCGCCTCCGTCCCGCCTCCCCCCCGGCCGCCCCGCCCCTCCACCCCTGCACCGCGCCTCCCTCCGGAGGCGGCTGCGCCCCCGCGGGCAGCATCTCCAGGGGCGCCACCTGCACGGCACGAGCTGGCCGCGGCGGGGAGGCGGCGGCCGATTTCGCCGACGACTGGCTTCGCCGACGGCTGGTTTTGCCCGCGGCCAGCTTCGCCGACGTGGATTCGTCAACCCGACCACCGGTCTCGCACTGCTAAGTTCGCCGACCCGCCCGTCAGGGGCCCGCCCGCCCGACCCGCCAGCTTTGGTCCTGCCGCGCCGGATGCTCTGACGCTCGTGCGCGTCTCTCTTGCGCGAGCCTTCCTGACCCGACGTGCGCATATTGTGAGTGCCGCCGTCGCCACAGGGAGGGAGGGAGGGACGGACGAAGAGGGGAAGTAATGGAGGGAGGGGAGCGATGGGAGCGAGGGGAGCGAGCGAGCGCGCGGTGCCGCCGTGGGCGCGGCCCATGTGGGCCTGCGCGGAAGGGCTGGAGCTCTCAGGTCGTGTTGTCCGTGTTCGGGTAGCCCACAGCATACAGTGTAAGCGGACTGGTACGTAGCCCAAGTGACAGTGCCATGCGCAAGTGCCAACCACCATTCGTAACCAGAATCGTCGGACACTCCGCTGCAGTGGCCAACAAGATCCCTAGCTCCCAAGACAAAAACTTCAGAATCTCGTGGTGCCAACGTTTCCGCTGCCCGCCGCGCTCTCGTTTGGCTGGTCTTTTGTCGCATCGTGGATGTGCCCAGGTGGAACTAATCGGGGGGGAGGATCGGGGGGGAGGGCCACAGGCGTCAGGCCGAAGCGGATCAGGGGAGGAGAGAGGAGCGAACGACAAAGCAAGGGAGGCAGGAAGGCTGCTGAGGCGAGGGCACGTTGGCTGCTGAGGAGGGAGGCGAGGGGCGCAGCACGAAGGTAGGGAGGGAGGCCGCTGAGGCGAGGGCAAGCCAGCTGCCGAGGAGCGTCGCGGGATGCGCAGGGGGGGGCAGGCTGCAAGGGCGAGGGGAGGCGAGAGGACCTGGCCCCGCGCCACGAGGCGGCCGTACACGTCGCGGTGGAAACGCAGTAGGTCCATGGCGTCGCGCACGCCCGCGCGGGCCGCGACCTCCGGCGCACGGGCGGGAGGGAGCCTCCTCCCTCGCCTCCTCCCGCACTTTCTTCCTCCCTGCGCCTCCTCCTCCTCCTCCGCCTCCTCCTCCTCCTCCTCCTCCTCCTCTTCCTCCTCCTCCTCCTCCTCATTTTCCTCACCCTCCTGTTCATCCTCTTCCTCCCCTTCCTCCGCCTCCTCCCCCCCCGTCGCCGCAAACCCTCATGGTGCCCAGTGGGAACCGACACACCTCCCTTCGGCAAGCCTCGGGCTGCACCGCCGCTGGGTAGAGAAGCTCCAGGCCGGACAGCCCGTCAGGGTGCTCCATGACCTGCCCGAGACGCCGGACCCGCCCGCGCCTTCCTAAGATATGACGTTGCCTTCTCCTCCTGTTCCTTCTTTTCCTCCCTCCTCCTCCTCTTCTTCCTTTTCCCTTTCCTCCCCCCCCGTCATCACCGTCATCATCACCACCACCATCACCAACGCCAGCATCAGTATCACCATTTGCACCATCATCATCAACAGCGACAGCAACATCAAACACCTCATGGCCATCACCAGCATCACCATCGTCATCGCCATAATTATCACCGTAAGCATCAACAGCATCGCCATCAGCCGCATAGTCATCATTACCATCCATGCCGGGACTAGTATCACAACCGCAGTCACCAACACAATTGACATCGTCATCGCAATCACCATCATCAGCAGCAACATCATCACAATCGTCACCGCAATCATCATCACCACTAACATCAGCAACATCAACCAATTTCGGAATCGCCATCATCATGACTACTGCTACTGCTACTGCTACTATCGCTGGAGCTGCTGTCGCTGGGCACGCCTGGCTGCGGGGTACTACTTGTGTCCGTCGGGCAGCGTCGAGGCCACAGCGGGAGCACGCTGCTAGCTCGGAGAGCCACATCGGTTAGAGGTGCCAGGGTGGAGAAGAGAGCGGGGAGCAAGGCATCGGCAGCAGCAGGACTTAGAGGGAGGGAAAGTTGGGAATTGGCCACACATAACAGATGATGAGAAACAACAAGCGGCATCAAAGCGATAGGGGACGGCTCCGACAGCCTAAGACGGCGACTGGGCCAGTGAGAGCTGATGGGCTGGAGGGAAGCACGGGAGACAAACGCGAGAAGCCTAGAGCATGACATAGAATGCCATTGTGAGTCGGCACAATCATGAATCATGACAGCCGAAGATACAAGCCTGTGATTTCTGAAATCGAAATCCTGCACACCGTGCGCCAGTGCAGTTTTGGCGAAGCTGTTGCCCAAACTTGAAGGACAAACTAAGACGGTCTCGCGGACTTCATTCCAGCGAATGCGGAGGATGACGTTAGCCGGTCTAGGGAAGAGATAGAGAAGGCGAGCGGAGAAGTCACGGTGGAACGACGAGGGGAAGAGCCGAGAGGCGAGAGATTCGTAAACATTGCGCTGGACTTTGCTGTGGGCAGACACCGCGCCCCACGCTGCACGGCTTGCCTGAAGCGCGGCCCGGCGCCGCTTCGAATGGGAAGGAAACTCGTCCGCGGCCTCCCGAAGTCCGAGCGCGAAGCGCGGACACGTGCAGAATCCAGGGTAAACGGGCTGGCGCGCCGCGCCCGTGGCCGCGCGAAATCCAGGAGGGCCGCGAAGCCCGACAGCGTTGCCGACCACGCAGATCGCAAAAAACGCATCTCCCAACTCGCGGGCGCGCATATTGCGCTGAGCGAGGTGGACATTCTGCTGCCGCGCTGCCCGAGCGATTGCGCGGAGGGCGATCCGCTGGTAGGGTGGAGGCATGAGGCTGGCCCATGGTGAGAGAGCCCCGGGCGGCGCGAGCTCCCTCGATCGTGATGTCCGTCGAGCGGGGTCGATATATCTGCCATGTCCACCTGCTCAAACATCTGGCCGATAAGCTTGCCGAACTCGGGCCGCTGAAAGATGCCAGCTGGGCTCGGGCGGTCGCCCGGCTGCGCGCGAAGGCGAAGGCGTTGCGCGCGTTCCATGCCAGCGAGGTCTGAGAGGTGCGTGGAAAACGAAGTTTCTGGGCCCGTGAGCCCGCGCCCCCGTGCAGGACTGGGCCAGGCCACGCCCTGGCGCGGGCGCGAACAAGCGATCGATGTTGCTGAGAGCCCCCAGTGCAGCGTGGTAATGAAGCGGCTCGTTGAGATCGACGTCGCACAACCTTCCAAAGCAACGCTCCCAAGCCCTGTCCCTCGAACGGCGCCACTGGAGATCGGGGCGTCCCTGCGCGCTGCTACAGGGGGAGCTCCAACAAAGTTGAAGTCGCCACCTACGATCACGAGGGTCTTCATCGGGTTCTCCTCGGCGGCCTTTATGTCGTCGGTTATAGCGTCTATGACGCAGTCGCGCCGCGCACGCGCAAACCCAAACATGCGCACGTTGTAATGCGATGCGCGTGCCCCGTCGACAACTGGAACGCGCACTTCAGAGCCCGCCCAGGCACTGAAACTGCGTCTTGCATGTCGGGAGCCCCCGGGCCCGCGACGGCCTTAAACTGCGGAGCGAACGTGACCTTTCCACCCGCAGCATGGGGGATAATGGGGAATGAGAGAAGACCGAGCAACGACAATAATATGTATATGACGCATCATCGCCTCGATTTCAGCGATAACCCCATGGGCTTCCTAAGCGCCCATAAGATCACCCTGCCCGGCAAATCCGCCGATCCAGCGTGTGCGTTTCTGAGAGCGTGGACTCGAGCACGCTCAAGCTTCGCTCTGCAGGGGGGGGGGGGGGTAAAGTCAAAATATGGTTCTATTTAACGATGTGCTGTTTTTGCTTACGCGGACCTCTCCTCTCCTCTCCTTCTCTCTCCTCTCTCTCTCTCTCTCGTTTCCGTTAGGATTCTATCATAGGAGGAAGGCGTATTACACATTGATTCCTTTTGTGGAGGATGACAATCGGATTCCTTTTGCGAAGGTTTACAATAGGATTCCTTTTGTGGAGCATTACAATAGGATTCCTTCTGTGGAGGATTACAATAAGATTCTTTTGCGGAGGAATGCAATAGGACTCCTTTTTGTGGAGGATTACACTATGATTCCTTTTGTGGAGGATTACAATAGGATTCCTTTTGTGGAGGATTACAATAGGATTCCTTTTGTGGCGGTACTTTGGAGAAACCTAGGAGGAGAAAAAAAAAGAGAAAACCAATGAAATCAGGAAAATTGCAGGTTTTCACTGATTTTCAATGTTTCGCAACGAAAAAAATATGAAAACACCGCATTTTCAGCTTTCCGGGGCCGAAAACATATAAAAACACAGCGTTTTTCTAGCTCCCTGAAGCAAGAAACATGTAAAAACACAACGTTTTCAAGCCCCTGGAGCCGAAACGCTTTGTTTTAAGATGGTTTCGCGTCCAGGGGCTTGACAACGCTGTGTTTTTTATATGCTTTTCGCTCCAGGGATCTAAAAACGCTGTGTTTTTATATGTTTTCGGCTCCGGAAAGCTGAAAATGCTGTGTTGTCATACCTGTTCTTTGCAAAACATTGAAAATCATTGAAAACTTGTAATTTTCATGATTTCGTTGTTTTTTGTTCTTTCTCCTCCTAGGCTTCTGCCAAATACCGCGATCAAAGGAATCCTATTGTAATCCTCCACAAAAGGAATCCTATTGTACTCCTCCACAAAAGGATTTCTATATTAATCCTCCACAAAAGGATTCCTAGTGTAATCCTCAACAAAAAGAATCCCATTGCAATCCTCCACAAAAGAATCCTATTGTAATCCGCCACAAAAGGAATCAATGTGTAATCTGTCACAAAAAGAATCCTATTGTAATCCTCCACCAAAGGAATCCTATTGTAATCCTCCACAAAAGGAATCTTATTGTAATCCTCCGCGCAAGGAATCCTATTGTAATCCCCCACAAAAGAATCCGATTGCAATGCTCCACAAAAGGAATCCTATTGTAATGCTCCACAAAAAAGGAATCCCATGGTAAACCTTCACAAAAGAAACCCGATTGTCATCCTCCGCAAAAAGAATCAATTTGTAATACGCCTTCCTCCCATGATAGAACCCTAACGGAAACGAGAGAGAGAGAGAGAGAGAGAGAGAAAGAGAGAGAGAGGAGAGAAGGAGAGGAGAGGTGGGTGGCCCCAGGTGGCCGTCCGTCCGTCGCGTGTCCAGGAAAAAATCCTCAACAAAAGGAAGGGATTTGTAATCCGCTACCAAAGAAATCAAATTGTAATCCGCCGCAAAAGTAATCCTTTTGTAATCCGCCACAGGAGGAATCCTTTTGTAATCCACTACGTAAGGAATCAATTTGCAACCCGCCACACAAGAAATCCTTTTATAATCCGCAACAAAAGAAATCCTTTTGTAATCTAGTATAAAAGGAATTACTATGTAATCCGCAACAAAAAGAATCAACTTGTAATCCGCCACAAAAGAAATCCATGTATAATCCGCCACAAAAGGAAACAAATTGTAACCCGCCACAAAAGAAATCAGTTTGAAATTCGCCGCACAAGAAATCCTGTTGAAACCCGCCACAGAAGGAGTCAATTTGATATCCGCTACAAACAACATTGATTTGTAATTCGCCACAAAAAGGAATATATGTGCAATCCAGCACAACAGGAATCAACCTATACTTCGCTACAAAAGGAATCAAGTCGTGATCCGCCACAAAAGAAAACCTTCTGTAGGGAGGGGATGTAAATGGTGGGTCAATCGCTACTAGGATTTCATGACAGGTGCATCTATTTTTCATCGGATTATATTAGATGTGGGTCCATATGTAATGGGATTCTCTTAGAGGTGGATCCATCGCGAATCGGACTCCACTAGAGGTGGATCCATCTCAGATAGGATCTCATTACAGGTGGATCCATCTCTAATCGGATCCTATTAGAGGTGGACCCATCCCTAAAAGGATTCTAGTAGAAGTGGACCCATCCCGAACAGAGTTCTATTAGAGGTGGATCCATATGCAATGTGGATCCATTTGGGGTGGATCCATTTCTAACCGGATTCTGTTAGAGATGGACCCATCTCTACTAATGTTCAAGTAGAGGTGGATCAATCTGTCGTAGGATTCTATTCGAGGTGGAGCCAAGAGGTGGACCCATCTCTGTTAGACCTCTATTTGAAGTGGATCCATATGTAATCTGCTTGCACTCGAGGTGGGCCCATCTCTCACAGGATTCCATTAGTTGTGGATCCAGCTGTAGTCGGATTCCATTAGAGATGGATCCATCTGTAACATGATTATATTCGATGTGGATCCATCCGTAATCGGATTATATGAGGGGTGGACCCATCTGTGTTAGGACTCCGTTAGAAGTGGATCTAGATGTGGTAAGA